AACATAACATGATTTTTTGACTTTAAATTCCTGAAAGCAATTTTGAAATTACTATACAAGTACCCTCCCTAATGTCTTCTCCAGTTGTCCTGGATCCCAAGTACCCATATGGCACTCAGAATGGCTATAAAGGGCAGGGACCATCTGGGTCCCAAATTTACACACCAGGTGTACAGCTTAGGACAGATGATAGAGCTGTAGAGATACCTAGAGGGGCCAACCCTTCCCAACATGGTCCCAGGAGGCACAGCTGGGCCAGGAAGGACATACTGGGTTTGGGCCTGACCTGCAGCTAGTTCTTTGGTGCTGTGGACATACCAACGTCTTCAGGCCTCACCAAGGCCATCTGTCTAAATCCCAGAATCTAAAGGCTCGAAAACCAAAGATGTTAGCTCACTGTAAAATGTATTCAAGGTCTCAGGGAAGCCCAGCAGCCAGCCCTCACCACTTTAGCTCACAGACGAATTAAGCAGCTATCAAAAATATCACAGAAGCAACCGTTTTTGTTGTTATTGTTGTTTTGGGGGGGTTCTTTTTGAGACAGAGTCTCACTCTGTCTTCCAGGCTGGAGCCCAGTGCACAATCTTGGCTCACTGCAATCTCCACCTCTCGGGTTCAAGTAATTCTAGTGCCTCAGCCTCCCGAGTAGCTGGGATGACAGGTGTGTGCAACCACACCCAGCTAATCAAGTGATCCATCCACTTCCACCTCCCAAAGTGCTGGGGTTATAGGCGTGAGCCACCACACTCAGCTGAAGCAACAGTTTTACAATCTGCTAAAACATCTAGCAGAGACAGTATACTTCTCTTTGACCAGTAGACCTGGGTAAAAATGCCTGAATTATATTTAGTACTGATAATTTTGAATACTTTCTAATTTAATTTTACCAACAATTAAAAACTAGTTTTGGCCAGACACAGTAGCTCATGCCTGTAATCCTAGCACTTTGGGAGGCTGAGGTGGTTGGATCATGAGGTCAGGAGACCAAGACCATCTTGGCTAACACGGTGAAACCCTGTCTCTAATAAAAATACAAAAAAATTAGCTGGGCGTGGTGGTACACACCTGTAATCCCAGCTACTTGGGAGGCTAAGGCAGGAGAATCACTTGAACCCAGGAGTTGGAGGTTGCAGTGAGCCAAGATCACACCATTGCACTCCAGCCTGGGCAACAGAGTGAGACTCCATCTCAAAAAATAATAATAATAAATAAATAAAAACTAGGGTTTTTTTTTTTGTTTGTTTGTTTGTTTGTTTTTTGAGACGGAGTTTCACTCTTGTTACCCAGGCTGGAGTGCAATGGCGCGATCTCGGCTCACCACAACCTCCGCCTCCTGGGTTCAGGCAATTCTCCTCCCTCAGCCTCCTAAGTAGCTGGGACTACAGGCACACACCACCATGCCCTGCTAATTTTTTGTATTTTTAGTAGAGACGGGGTTTCACCATGTTGACCAGGATGGTCTCAATCTCTTGACCTCATGATCCACCTGCCTTGGACTCCCAAAGTTCTGGAAAAACTAGTTTTATTTACCAAATGTTACTAAAAATCATATGAACTTGAAAAGCATTTCGCCTTATTTACTTAATTTATGAGTGCTCACTTATTTATAATTCAACTTGGTACCATGTAGACAATATGAAAACACAGCCACGTACACAGATACACATAAAAATAGACACACACAAAAATTAAGATGTGGCCGGGCACGGTGGCTCACGCCTGTAATCCCAGCACTTTGGGAGGCCGAGACGGGTGGATCACAAGGTCAAGAGATTGAGACCATCCAGGTCAACATGGTGAAACCCCGTCTCTACTAAAAATACAAAAAATTAGCTGGGCATGGTGGCGCGTGCCTGTAATCCCAGCTACTCGGGAGGCTGAGGCAGGAGAATTGCCTGAGCCCAGGAGGCGGAGGTTGCGGTGAGCCGAGATTGTGCCATTGCGCTCCAGCCTGGGTAACAAGAGCGAAACTCTGTCTCAAAAAAAAAAAAAAAAAAATTAAGATGTTTATACCTTTGCCTGGGTGCAGTGGTTCATGCCTATAATCTCAGCAATTTGGGAGGCCGAGGTAGGCAGATCACTTGAGGTCAGGAGTTCAAGATCAGCCTGGCCAACATGGCAAAACACCATCTCTACTAAAAATACAAAAACTAGTCTGGCGGGGTGGTGCGCACCTGTAGTCCCAGCTATTTGGGAGGCTGAGGCAGAAGAATCACTTGAGCCTGGGAGGTGGAGGATGCAGTGAGCCAAGATCATGCCATTGCACTCCAGCCTGGGCAACGAGTAAGACTCTGCCCCCCACAAAAAAAGATTTTTATATCTTTGATTTTTAAATTTTAGTCATCAGACAGGTAAAACTCACTAATTTAAAAAGACAGCAGGATTAAATTCTGTCTCTGTAAATGGAACAGATTAAAGTTTTTGCAAGCCCTTATGGAGTTTTAGAGGAAACAGGGAAGCAAATTTGCATCTCAAAGCAGAGACAATGTAAGCATTTTCAAGGAGTTTAGATGTGTTAGAGGAAGATTAGAAGTGGATGCCAGGGTAACGCAAAATCATAGGAATTCACTAGAAGGTTTTACAAGGAAATACACAGATGAGCCGAGAAACCAGCAGGTTTCACCATGTTGACCAGGATGGTCTCGATCTCTTGACCTCGTGATCCACCCGCCTCGGCCTCCCAAAGTGCTGGGATTACAGGTGTGAGCCACCACTCCCGGCCTAGTTTCCATTTCTTAACTGGATTACTGAACCCATCAGCAAATAGGGCCAAGAAAGTATTCGCGGTTCTCAGGGCCTAATAATTAAATATGTGAAAAGCAGGCACAGCTGGGAAGGAGAGGTAGATCTTTAAATAGCAAGAATCCCACTTTTTTTTTTTTTTTTTTTTTTTTTTTTGAGATGGAGTTTCACTTTTCTTGCCCAGGCTGGAGTGCAATAGTACGATCTTGGATCACCGCAACCTTCACCTCCTGGGTCCAAGCGATTCTCCTGCCTCGGCTTCCCAAGCAGCTGGGATTACAGTCACGCACCATCACGCCCGGCTAATTTTGTATTTTCAGTAGAGACGGAGTTTCTCCATGTTGGTAAGTCTGGTCTCAAACGCCCGACCACAGGTGATCTGCCCGCCTCAGCCTCCTACAGTGCTGGAAAGAATCCCACTTCTCCTTTGAATCGCAGGTCCCCAAAGGAGGAAAAAATGTCATGGGTCCGGGCCACACAGTGTTTCCATAGTGCTCCTTGCGACATCAGCCCACTCTGTGGTCAGCCCATCCCCCACAGGAGTCTTATCCCTTGTTGGAGAGTATTTTCATAACCTCCAACCATTCGAACTTCACCTTTCTTATCTAAACACACAAAGAAACAAGTAGCCCCCTGCAGTAATAACCATTCACTGCATTTGCTGTCAGTTACTTCCCAAACTGCAGCTTTTGGCAGCGACTTGCCAGCCATTGCACACGAAAAGGCCAAGTTCTCTCTCAATACAAAGTAATCCTTTTGTACTCCAAAAGCCAAAGAGGTCAGGAAACTCAATGCAAAAGAGAGCAGAGCTGTAGACCTGAGAAAAGCATGCCCACAATTCTCAAGACTCAACAAGAGAAAGAGAAAATCCCAAAAGAGTAAAACGGTATGTACGTGTGTTTGTGTGTGTGTGTCTGTGTGCTGGGGGGGGCTTTTCCTGTGTTCTTCAAGGGGTCTCAGAAGTCTCCCCTAGAAGTCTCCTCTAGATTTCTCCATGTGGTATCGAAAATGGTCAAAGAAAGGAGGAGCAGAAGTGGAAGGAAATGGAAGAACAAGTCCTAGAGGAGCTAATTTGGAAATATTTTAAATTTTCTAAAAGGCCAATGAAGTTTTACATTTTTCTCAGCAAAATCATGCGAACAAGAAAGGAAGCAAACAGAGGGATTAAAGGTTTTTTTTCAAAAGGAGTTTCAGTCAACTGAAAAAAAAACTCCCAGAAACAAGATCCCAGGGAGAAAAAGCAGAAAGGCCCTTTTTGTCAATAAAAATTATAGCCTGAATATCAGCTTTTGATCAAGCTGATTTCTAACCATAGATCTCTTTTAAAAAGGTTTTTTTTTTTTTTCCAAATCTTTTATCAGACTTCAGCCAGGACAAATAGAAAGTAGGTCTCCCATTCTGTCTGGTTCTAAAACAGCTTTTTTTTTTTTTTTTTCTGATCGAGTGCACAAATGAGTTGTTTTAGGCATTTCAAAGGACCTCCATTTTGGCCATTGTAATTTAGGGTCATCTGAAGTCCTGTGGTCCCATTTGTCCAAATATCTACAAGACAAATCTCCGTAAGTGTTAAACAAAAAACCAGCTGATGTTTCCAGGGGAGGCTGCCTCCTTAAGGAGTCTTCAGACTTGAATGCTTTGCACCCATAACTTAGAGGCCTGAATCACTCACAACCAAGCTCTGGGCAGTATTTTGGGTCAAAATGTGCTGCTTGTGAGTGTAACTCCTTACTGTGTCACTACTATGTCCACTTTTTTATGTGTCTCAGAAACGTTGAGTTCCCAGAGGGTCACAGAGTCCTCACGAGTGCTAAGTGACCAAACTTTATGTGCATTTGTTGGCAGAGTGAGAGAGATTATAGATGTTCTCCCGAGAGAGAAAACCTTTTAAGGCATGAAAGTCCCAATACCCCTACCCAGTAAGTCTCTAATTATTTAGAGTGCCCTAATGGGCTGGAGGGAACAAGTGCCTTTTATCTTTGGAGTGAAGAATCCACTCTCATATATTAGAAAAAGGGAATCTAAGAGACGTGATCATGCATAAAAGTTTGATTTCCAAAATGAAAGGTCATGATGCAACAACGTCTTGGCCGAAAAAGAAAGCAAACTGCCCACTGCAGACTTACGCGTTAGCGGAAAAATATCCTTAAATAGAAATGTCAGAGACAGAATCCTCATTCAGAGAGAGTCAGAGAGAAACCGCCCAAATTAAATCTACACTTCCACCAAAGAAACGGAGGTCTGGATTCAGGAGAACCCACCTGCAACCACGATGAGACGTCCGAAGATGGAGAACGCAATGGGTTTTTGCTAGTACCAGGCACTGCCTTCAGAGGAAAACAATGGGTGGTTGCTGTGGAGGATTCACTCTGAATCCTGCTATATCGACCTAAAGGAAAATTCATGCTGAGTTGATAGTTTACTTGGGCCAGATTTGAGGACTGCAACCCAGAAGCATAGATTCAAGTTGCCCTTGATCTATCCTCCCAATAGCAGCAGTTATAAGTGTCTTTTTTAAAAAAAATCTCTTTATTTATTTATTTTGAGACTGGGTTGTAAGACTGGCTAACTTTTGTATTTTTGGTAGTGATAGGGTTTCACCATTTTGCCCAGGCTGGTCTCAAACTCCTGGGCTCAAGTGATCTACCTGCCTCAGCTTCCCAAAGTGCTGGGAATACAGGCGGGAGCCACGGTGCCCTGACTACAAGTGGGATTTTCTTTTCTTTTTTCCCTGGAACTTTATGTCTTCTAACAGGTACAAGTGGTAGTAGCCTTTTCCTTTTTCTTTTTTTTTTTTTTTTAACAGAGTTTTGCTCTTGTCGCCCAGGCTGGAGTGCAGGGGCATCATTGTGGCTCACTGTAACCTCCGCCCCCCAGGTTCAAGCGATTCTCCTGCCTCAGCCTCCTGAGTAGCTGGGATTACAGGCACGTGCCACCACACCCGGCTGATTTTTGTACTGTTAATAGAGACAGGGTTTCACCATGTTGGCCAGGCTGGTCTCAAACTCCTGACCTTAAGTTATCTGCCCACCTCAGCCTCCCAATGTGCTGGGATTATAGGCATGAGCCACCAGGCTGACCAGCCTTTTCCTTCTTTTAAAGGAAAAGAAAAATGCAACTCCTAAACTGTTTAGTAAGAATTTACATAAAAATAACATAAGCTATTGATTGGCTATACATTGTCACTTGTCTCACACATTCCAGGAACAGGAAGATAATGGGTGAGTCAGCTAGTTAGGAAACTATAGGGAAGAAAAGAAAGAACAAAATGCCTTTAAACAATTGCACCCAGGGGCATGGAGGTGGTGGGGATATAGGTGGTTGTGGGATGGGCAACTAGAGACCCCTTTGAGCTTTTTTTTTTTTTTTTTTTAGACGAGTCTCGCTCTGTCACCCAGGCTGGTGTGCGGTGGCTCACCTCAACCTCCACCTCCTGGATTCAAGCAGTTCTCTGCTTCAGCCTCCCGAGTAGCTGGGATGACAGATGCCCACCACCACGCCCGGCTAATTTTTGTATTTTTACTATAGACAGGTTTCACCATCGTGGTCAGGCTGGTCTTGAACTCCTGACCTCATGATCCACCCACCTCGGCCTACTAAAGTGCTGGGATTACAGGTTTGAGCCACCATGCCTGACCTGAGCTGTTTTTCTTTTCTCAACTAGTAATAGAAATGTGATGCTGGAGAAAGAAACCTGGACCAAAATGTGATGTGGGTAACTTGTTTCTCTTTTCTGGGTCTCAACTTCCTCCAGCTCTATTTTTTAGAGAAGGAAGTTGCATGGGAAAGGAAATGGCAGTCAGGTTTTTCTAGCTGAAGCTGTCTAAGTTGAAGTATAAAAAAAAATTAAGGTGGGCTGGAGTGAGGGGAAAGCTGGTGAGATATCTCGAAACCTGTGTTAAGGAATTTCCCTGACTTAGAACAGGGCAGTTGGTTTTTACCATTAAAATCCCTTTGGTTTTTACCATTAAAATTCCAAAGTTACAACCCTCTCTTCCTCTTTGTAAATGTTGGTTAGCCACTACTGGACATTACCAATGCTCAGGGGAAACTAGTTGAGATTAGAAGAAACAATTTTACACACTGGTAGTGATAGCAGGTCTGCAAGGTTGACTCAGGCAGAGAAAGTCAGGAAGACAGTTATTGCATGCCACAGAGAACTACAAACGTAGGGAGGAGCCAAAACGGGCAATGTCAAATAAAAGATCCTTCCAATATGCAGAATTACAATCTCTGCGAACAACTCCTTGGCTTCTGTTTTGACTTTAAGTTACTACATGGTTCAAGATAAAGGGCTGGTAAATTGAGACCTGAGTTCTCCTTCAGCGACAACCAGGGAGAGCTGGTGGAGTGAGTGGTAGTAACCTGTCCTCACCCAATTTTCAAATTAAGTCTTTAAGGCCACTAGTAAGCCAACGGAAAGGAATTATTGTTCCTCAGGCTCAAAGAGCACAGAAGTTGCTATGTGGGATGGGCATCCGGTGGCACATGTCTGTAGTCCCAGATGCTTGGGAGGCCAAGAAGGCAGGATTGCTTGAGCCTCGGAGTTTGAGGCTACAGTGAGCTACATGATTGTATCACTGCACTTCAGCCTGAGTGACAGAGCAAGACCCTGTCTCAAATAAATAAATAAATAAATAAATAAATAAATAAATAAATAAATAAATGAAATTAGCCAGGTGTAGTGGTATATGTCTTTAGTCCTAGCTACTTGGGAGGCTGAGGTGGGAAGATTGCTAGAGCCCAGGAATTTGAAGCTGAAGTGAGCTCTGATTATGGGGCTACACTCCAGGCTGGGTGACAGAGTGAGGCCCCATTTCAATAATTTAAACAATGATTTTTTTCAAAGATGTTGCTGTGTGGGCTGGGCGGTGGCTCACGCCTATAATCCTAGAACTTTGGGAGGTCAAGGTGGATGGATCACCTGAGGTCAGGAGTTTAAGACCAGCCTGACCAACATGGTGAAACTCCACTTCTACTAAAAATATAAAAATTAACTGGGCATGGTGGTGGGTGCCCGTAATCCCAGTTGCTCAGGAGGCTGAGGCAGAACAATCACTTGAATCCAGGAGGCGGAGGTTGCAGTGAGCAGAGATTGCGGCACTGCACTCCAGCCTGGATGACGCAGTGAGACTCCATCTCAAAAAAAAAAAAAAAAAAGCTTTTCTAAACCCTTAGGGAAAAAAGTTGTCATGTGGATTGAGGTAGAAGGAAAATAGGCAGAAGGTAATGAGTTCAGAGGACTTGCTTTTAATTGTATAGTAAAGGGTAGGAACTCTCAAATATTCTGCTTTCTTCTTTGAATGACTTTAGTGTGTTTTTCCTCCTATAGATACACTGAGACCAGAGCACCAGCTTTCCTTGCTGAGAGAGAAAGGGAGTGAGAAGGGGGAGAGAGAGAGACAATGATGAAAATGATAAATGATGATAATTGTTTCCTCTGAGATAAAAAACTGAGCTCTATGCTAAGGAAAGAAAACTGTCTCCTAGTATTTTTTCTTCATCCTTAATGCCTATTCAGGAAGGAATAATAAAAGAGAGGAAGATAAAGATGCTAACATTTACTGAGGTCCTTTTATGAACTGGGCACTTTCTCATTCATGGTTTCTTTTAATCTCCACATTTTTACAGATGAGGAAACTGGAGGGTAGAGTATTTCAGTAACAAGATCTCTCCATTATTAAAGGCAGAAGTGCAGTTCTGATTATCAAGGCCTTGCTCTTTCCACACCAAAGGAAAATCAATCAGGCCTCCTACAGGCCGTTAGCCATAAGACTAACGGGCTGGGTGAGTTGGGTGGCTTAGAGCACTGTTTTCTAATGTGAGCACACAGCAGACTCTTCTGGAGAGCCTTTTAAAACACAAAAGACTGGACCCCACCCTCTGAGTTTCTGGTCCTATAGGTCCGGACTGGAACCAGACACTATGCTTCTAACAAGATGTGAATCCACCTTGAGATTAACAGCCTTAGAGCTAACAGTCTCCAGGAATGGAAATAGCACTTCCCAGTTCATGTTCTAATGACAGTGGAGTTAGGGAATGTGACTTTCCTATGGGAAGGCTAGCACATCCCAAAGTGCCCTTAGAATAGAATTCCCCAGCCAGGGGTACGGTGGCTCACGCCTGTAATCACAGCACTTTGGGAGGCCGAGGGAGGTGGATCACGAGGTCAGGAAATTGAGAACATCCTGGCCAACATGGTGAAACCCCATCTCTACTAAAATACAAAAAATTAGCCAGGCGTGGTGGCGCACTCCTGTAATCCTAGATACTTCGGAGGCTGAGGCAGGGAAATCGCTTGAACTCGGGAGGCCGAGGTTGCAGTGAGCCAAGATCTCGCCACTGCATTCCAGCCTAGCAACAGACCAAGACTCGTCTCAAAAAAAAAAGAATTCCTCATGTTCTAAGAGTTGAGAGAACCATGTGTTCTTGACTTCTGAATACATTGCAGGATTTCACCCACAAAATATTTTTATTCTTGAATGTGCATGCTTACAATCAATCCTCATTGTTCCTGGATTTCATATATGGGAATTTGCCTACTCTCCAAAATGTATTTGGAACACCTAAATCCATCCTTGCAGTACCTTCAGCCACTCACAGACATGTGTAGAGAAGTGAAAAGTTTGAGTCACTCAAACCACGGTGATGTACATTCCGGGCTGCGGTCAAACAAAGCGAGGCCCTGCCTTCTTGTTTCAGCTCTTCCATGGTAATCCAGTGTCCTTCCTATTTGCAGTATATGTAGTACCTTATTTTGACATTTCTGTGCTTTTTGTTGGTGATTTCACTCTTTAAAAAATGGTCTCCAAGCAGAGTGCTGAAGTGCTGTCGACTGTTCCTAAGTGCAAGAAAGCTGTAATGTGCCTTACAGAGAAAATACGTGTGTTAAATGAGCTTCATTCAGGCATGTTATAGCACTGTTGGCCATAGATCTAATGTAAATGAATCAGCAATGTATAATAAATATCTTTAAACACAAACACACATCATTGATTGGTTGATGAAAGATGGCTCGAAGGAACCTCACCCTGTGTTGCCCCTAGGAGCAACGTTTCAGTATCCACAGTAACCTTATGGAAAATGAGAATCACCTGCATTTTGTAGGGAATCTGAAGGGTCAAGGCACATGAAAGAACCACAAAAATCAAAACAAAAAAATAAGAAAAATTTCAAAATTGTCTCAAAGACTTGGCAAATGCAAATATATATATATATATATATATACACATATTTATTTTATAGTATATTTACTTTATTGTACTATATTTATTTTTATTGTGGTTTATTTATTTTATATATATATACTGTATAATCATGTTGTTTCTCTAGTTATTTGATCCGCCAGAATACAGGAAATGGTTAGGGAAAACAGTTGTTGCTATATCTCAGCCTTCTCCTGCTATCCTCGCAGATGACATTTTGTCTGTAAAAAGTGAATCTCATGCCCCCGTCTTCGTCAATTCTGTCCTTCAGGAGTTGTCAGAACCCTCTGTGC